GGGGGGGGGGGGGGGGAAGAAAATTATGTTAAACATATAAATCACGTTGATAAAACTGTTTATTTCCTATAGGTCTCCTCTAGTCGACCAGACCTTTCTGGCTTTGATGAAGATGATAAGGTGTGTACCTGTGGGCATGGACAGGGTATTAGCAGAATCTAAGTCTAAAAAATTAGGGGATCTTAGTGTTTTTAAAATCTCTGTGCTTCCCATCTAAATCTTAGGCAAATTATTTTCTCCACATGTCCATTTCCAAGTTCAAATACTTGATGTGAATCTTCTGTGTATTCTCACTATTACATTGTTACTTAGCATGATATGTTTTGTACCAGGATAATACCACACATAATTGAATGAATACCTGTGAGTTTATGGGTGGGCCTAACTCTAAGTGATTGAAGAAGGTATTAGGTCTGTCATAGCAAAATCAAAATTATTTCAGATGAGTAAAGTGGGGGATTTAAAATTAAGGACAGTTTTCAACATCATCTTATTCAGCAAATATTTCATGAACACATTATGTGTAAGATACTATGCTAGGAGCTGTGGATGATTCTAAAGGTAGAAGCACAGATTATGTCCTGAAGAAGTTTAAAATCTAGTCCTTACAGATAGCCAGCTCCTGAGAGGTTGAAATAAAATTAAATAAGCTCATATGATATATGAGTTTTCTCCCTTTAGTATCCCAATACCTTATGTTTGTTTGAAACTTTTATCTCAGGTGTACATAGAGTAACCAAACCACCTAGTTTGCCTGAGACAGTCCCAGCTTATGCCTGCTACCCAGGCAAAATTGTTAATGGAACTGTTTTACTCTCAAAAGTGTTTTGTCCTTGGGCCGGCCTGTGGCTCACTCGGGAGAGTGCGGTGCTGACAGCACCAGGGCCACGGGTTCGGATCCCATATAGGGATGGCCGGTTCGCTCACTGGGTGAGCGTGGTGCTGACAACACCAAGTCAAGGGTTAAGATCCCCTTACGGGTCATCTTTTAAAAAGAAAAAAAGTGTTTTGTCCTTAAATTATCCAGTCACCCTAAATATATGCCAACTTGATAAAATTGGCAGCCTCTGGGAAGAGAAGAAGGTGAATGGAACCACGTAGGTGTTCATAAGTGGATTTCCCTGTATTGTAATGATTTTTTAAATCTTGAGCAAATATAATAAAATAGTAACATTTATTCACTCTGGGTATACCTTGGTTATGACAGTATTTGTTATATTATTCAGCACTTTTCTGTATCTTTGAAATGTTTAATACGTAAAGAAGAGCATCTACTGCCATTAAAAAATAGAAGGAAATCAAATCTGGGCTTCAGTTCTCATCTTAGAGTGACTTTATTGCAGTTAACCCATATTTTTACCTTGTAGGGTTGGCCAGAGAACCAGCTAGACGTGTCTGACTACAGCTCCAGTTACCAAGATGTAGCATGTTATGGAACTTTACCCAGGGATTCACCTAGAAGGAGTAAAGAAGGTAGTGTTCAGATTGTTGGGCAGTGAGATTTTTTTATAATTTCTTAGGAAAAGCATGAAATAAAAAAGTCTTTCATGGATGATATATAATAAGATATGAAACTGAAATTCTCATTAGATAGATGATCCAAAACTATCTTCTTGAGCAGACCGTACATCACATTCACTTATTTGATTTCTTTTTGCTTTGTATCTAACATATTATCCAAATAATAATAGTAGGTTTTTTGTATATCCCGTTAAAATTTCCTGAGTTGTAGTCAGTTTTGAGACACACACAAATCTCAATACATTATTCTTTACCCAAAGAATATCCACCTTGTCATGTTTTTGTACTCAAAGGGATTTTTAGGAGACCATTACTCTGATTTTTAAAGCAGTCTCAAAAATGATACCAGAAATGAGTTTGATGAGTGGCATCATTATTACCAAAATATATAGTCTCGGGCCGGCCCGGTGGCGCACTGGATAAGTGCGCCGCTTGGGAAGCGCGGCGGCGCTCCCGCCCGAGGGTTCGGATCCCACATACAGACCGGTTCCCGCTCACTGGCTGAGCGAGGCGCGGGGGCGACGCCGAGGGTTGCGGTCCCGTTGCCGGTCCCCGGTCCAGTACGGGGCAACACTGAGGGTTGCAATCCGTTGCCAGACACGGAAAAAAAAAAAAAGACAAAAAAAAAAAAAAATATATATATAGTCTCCCAATGCCTTGATGGGAGCAGCATTCTATAGATGTGTAAATCAGCTCTGTTACCTTATGCCTTATATTTTACCTACTAAGTGCCATTGAACCAGTGAATTGGGAAGGGGGGAAAAGAGGCCAAATATGGTAAGAAATGAGTATGAGCAAGAAAGAAAAATTATTCTTCCTTAGTCGTATAGAGTAGAGTGGCCTGAGAAAAAAGGGGGCTTAAAAGAAAATTTATACGATCTTAATTCATTGAGTATTTATTGAGCCTCTACTTGCTGTCTTAAAATATAATCATGGAAATAAGACACATGGAAAATAAGACATTATATAATAAAGTGTCAAAATGCATGTAGAGATAATAAGGGCTCTGAGAATTCAGAGAAATAGAAAATCAGCAGGAGTTGAAATTGATCTGGTAAGTGGCGCTTAAGTTGGATCTTGAAAAGAGGGTAGAAGATTTGATTTCTTATTTCTTTCATGCTGACCAGCTCTTTAGTAACTCTTAGTGACTTTATACATTTATCTACATTCTTGCCTACATCTGTTGTAATGCTTAGCCAAACATTAGCATGTGAATTTCATTGCTATAGCAGATATTCTTGTGCCTAGGTTACGGCCTCGCTTCCTGTGTGTTGGTTAAAGTGCTCTGTACCTGTAAACTCATACCTTTTTGTCTTCCCCAGGTTGTACATCAGAGAATTCTCATGCCTTAACAGTCAGCCCTTTTAAAGCATTCTCTCCTCAGCCACCAAAGTTTTTCAAACCCCTTATGCCTGTAAAAGAGGAACATAAGAAAAGGATAGCTCTTGAAGCAAGGCCTCTTCTAAGCCAGGAGGTAAATGCACTGTACAAAATAGAATGGGATCGTGTTGCCTTTGGAGAAGTAGCAGTTTGAATTAACAAGTTGGATGCTGCATGTTGATGTGCACGGGTTTTCACTCGGTGGATCCCGTTTTCTAGTATACCTCTTTCTCAGGCATGCAGGGTCATGGGGGAATTTTTTGTTTGTTGTTATGGCTGTGGTTTTATTTCTTTGTGTTTATGCCTTTTTAAAGTATTTTTTATATTTCAAGTGAGAAAGAGATGTTCCCCTAGGTGTTTTGAAAATGTTAAAGCCTTTTATTCATTTTTTTGATAGAACTCATTATGCTTTTTGCCCTAGAATCTGTGTAGTCTGTCAGATTTCACCAATAGTTTAACTCTGGCCTGCAAAACTGGCTGCTGCACTACTCACATGTAGTAGAAGTGTTGGCATTGCTGTTCTAACTTGCATGTACTTAATGTGTATTTTGGCCGTCGTCGTCTCTCGTGTGTGATGCATCTGTGTGTCTTAACCTTTGCAGAGCATGCCTCCACCTCAGGCACATAACCCTGGCTGCATTGTACCCCCAGGAAGCAATGGCAGCAGCATGCCAGTAGAACACAATAGCAAACGTGAGAAGAAGATTGTAAGTTCTGGAATTATTTCTGTCATATTGCCTGGTGGTGGGTTTAAGGCCTTTCACAGACAATCAACCAAAAGCTTTAGAAGAAATTAAGACATGTATTAGGCCTTTGTTTTTTTTAAAAAATGTGACCATTGGTAATGAAATTTTGCATGAATGTGGCCATGACCTGTGATTTTTTCTAAGCATTCATTCTATTTTGTTCTGTTTTGTTTTTGCTTAGTGTAAGTTTGCTTAGAAAAGGGGGGAAAGGCACTTTTGATGATTCTGGTCTTTATAAAAGTGTTACAAAGAGGTCACTTTAACTAATAGTGAAATCTTTCTGATGTGCCTATACATATTGCCTAGATTCTGAAGCTAATCTACTTAGAGGAATTGCACTTACTTGGAGTAAGTAATCATGCATTTAGCTGTGGGTATGTCTGAAAGCTTCCTTATGTTGCCTGATGCTGTTGCCAAGATAATTCTGTAGTTTGTAGCTGTACTATAGTCTGGTCATCACCCATCATCATAATCTCTCTATCTCAGGTAGTTTTTGTTAATTAGCTGGCAGAATATATCCCAATGCCTTGGTCTGTTGGCCTTGCTTTCAGGATGACTTATCTATATTTTGCCACAGGTAGGTTGGAGCTCTACCTGCAAAACCTCATTCCTCAGCATTTGATTTTAAAATGACAAATTTTAGATACAGTTTTTAAAACACTGTGTGCTAGGCATTTTAGATTATAAATTATACATTGGTTGTTTAAAAACACCTGTATATTCTCAAGCCTGGAATTTTGGTATCTCAGCTTTCCCTCTCCTGTGGCTTCCTAGGCTTAGGGCAAGAGGAGGCTGCTTGATGCTGTGTCTGTGTGTTATCTGCTCTGTTGGGCAGAGTGTGGGGAGTCTCATTTCCCAGTCACACCGTGCCAGATGCATTGCAAAGAGTCATTAGTGTGAGATCCTTAACAGTTCTGAAATATACTGCTAATGCACACTGTGTGAAAACTAATTGCAACTTAATCCAGATATGCAGTTGGCCACTTTACCTGCATGTGTGGGGTGTACTGGGTCTTAAGAAATAACCTTTGCATTCCTAGCATGAGGAAACAAGGAAGGGCACCATTTTCTTTTCATTTCTCTACCCCTCCATCCCCCCTCCTTTGCCTCTAGGTTCTCCCTGTCCTTCTATCCCAAAGCCCCATCCTAGTTCCTGACGGAGAAGAGTGTGCACATCAACAGCTGCTCCTTCATCACTCCAAATCTTAACAAGCTGTGCAGTCACTTACTTGACCACCCCCTGCTTAATTCATAAGGGATGCAGTGTGTGCTTAAAAGGCCACATGGCTAGTTTGTTGCCCCTTCAAATTGTCTGGCTCTATGTCTGATTGGATCTTTGGGGTTAATTGACATTATCACTTATCACTATGGTGACCAAGCACTAAGTTTAAATCTATCATGACAATATACTTTGGTATAATGGCATTAAGAGACTGCTGAATAACCCTCCTGCGTTGCCCAGCACATGGATTTACAGGTCACAGAGGCGGGAGCGCCACCGCACTTCCCAAGCAGCGCACTATCCAGTGCGCCACCGGGCCGGCCCACTGGTAATTTTCTTTGCTTTCCTTTTACTGTCTCAAAGTAAACCCGTCTTAGGGCTTTCTGCTAGCAGAGGGTAAGATGGAACCAGATTCTCTTGACCCAGGAAATCCCAAGCAGCAGTTAGACTCTGTTTTCTTTGCTTTCCTTTTACTGTCTCAAAGTAAACCCGTCTTAGGGCTTTCTGCTAGCAGATGGTAAGATGGAACCAGATTCTCTTGACCCAGGAAATCCCAAGCAGCAGTTAGACTCTGTGTGCCCAAATGCACATGAAGTGCTCTGAGTAGGGTTTGACGGTGCCATTTTTCCTGTTGGGGTCTTACTTGAGAGAGCTGCGTCTACTCTCCTTAGGGAACTGGCTTGCTGAGCCTCTGAATCTCTGAGGCCGTTGGACTGTTTTATTCCAGATAGCTGTTTTTCAGGATGTTTTGGTGGAGTTTAAGTGCATTGCTTATTTGACCCGAGGTTCTAATTTCTCCTTGGGAAGCTTTTATTTTATTTCCCCTCTTATAAATGAATATAAACTGTTTTCTTCCTTTGTGACTAATTCACTTTCTTTTCTTTTCCATTCTTGAAAAATCAGTGACTCATGGGCTCAGACTGATCAAGAGAGTTTGAAATTATTCTTGAGAAGTAATATAAAGACATTGTTCCTATTATTTTCTTTAACTCACCTAATTGCCATAGTAACTTCTTCATATAAAATATAGTAAATAATACCTACACTTTATTCTTAAAGCTATATTTTGTTATCTGATCAGTTTGGGAAGATACACAGATGACCTATATAAATAAAATAAAGGCAGCAATATGCCTTTGGAGTCTATCTTTTTAAGTCATGAGGCATAGAGAATAGCAGAAAGAAAGTCAGTCATTTCTTCCAGTATCCTCTCAGTATCTGCAACATTACTCCTCTCTTAGATCTTGCATAGACAACATGTGGTTTATTCCTTTTATTTCACAGAAGGAGAAACATAGGTCTAGAATTGTTGAGCAACTTGCCCAAGGTCTGACAGTTAATGAGAGCATAAGAACCAAGAGCCCAGCAAAAGTGGGTTGACTCCAGTGACTCCAGGTTCTTCCAAAGATGGTGCAGTTACCGGACACCCTACTGCCACTCTTTCTAACAAACACAGCTGCCCAGCCCTAAGTACCATGGACAGAAATACCAGGAGACCGTATTTTGAAAAAAGACCATCTCTCTCATGGACAGCACAGATGTGATTATAGTGGGAGTGGAAATTGCATTAATCAAATGAAACTCCTTGCAGAGAGTCACTGCGTTAATGTGGATTTTGATTCTTTTTAAAATGAAGGTGTTTTGTCTGTAGGTAAATATCAGCTGCATAAATTAAATCGCAAAAATCAAATCATGAAGATTGTAGCTATAGAGAAGCTTGAGAACTTGACTCCATGCTCCACTTTTAGGTAGGGTTTTAATTCTTTTTGTCCTTAAGACATTGTAGAAAGGTGCTTAGTTTAATCATCTTTAAGATACAATGGTAGATGATGTTTCTGGTATAAAAAGTCTATGTAACCAAACCTCCCTCAACATAGAGTTTAAGCCAATTAAGGTCCTCTCTTTTCTCCTTGAAGGCAATAACTCAGTAAACTTTCAGTCTCCTTTTAAATGTTGAAAAATGTTTAATCTCTACTTAGTTTTCTTTTTTCTGGAATAATTCATTCCTTTACCTTTGGATCTTTGGGTCACCCTCCTCACCTCCCCACCCCACCCCAAGTGTATAACTGTGAACTCCTCCCTACTTGAACTTAATCTCTCATGATTTTGTAGGCTCCTCAGTTTTACTAAGGTCATCCTAATCCTTTAGGGATAATTTATCTTTGATAATTTTACATCTATTTCTACTTATTAAACTCATGATGCCTTTTTCATTCAGCAAAATTCTATTTTGAGATGACAGGCCTTTCCCTGGTCTTGAGAAGAAATAACTTCAGGAATAAAAAGGGACCCAAATTACTAATTTTCACCTTTGAATTTGGTTTTCCTTGCAGCAAATAACGTTTTAGTTATTAATTGCATCAGGTACAAGATCTTGGCCTTGGAGAATTGTGTTTCTTTGCTGGCTTAAAATTGAAAGGAAATATAAGAAATTCAAACACTTGAAATTTAATTGAGTCTAAACATGACAAATACAGAATCTAGAAAATACAGGCAAAGCCTACTGATTCAGACAATTCTGTCCGATCTTTGTCATCAACATTCCCCCCAAACCAGGGAAAGAACTATTCCCCACCCCCTTTTTTACCAGTGCTATTTAATTTAGAATGGAGCTGAAGATAAGACAGCAAGAGGTTAGTGTTGCCAAAAATTTTGTTTTTCTAATTTCAGGAACTTTATCACTGATATTTAATATTCCCTTTTGATTATAGCCAAGGAATTCAGACTGCTGATTTCTTTAAATATATGTGTTCAAATACATTTTAAAAACTAAGTTATAAAAACTAAATTACTTTAAAAATTGAAAAGCATTGAAGAGAGTACTAAACTGTTTTTGAGGTGTTTAGCATCTTATGAGATGCAAAAGAAAATAGTACTATAAAATTCAAGAGGGAATAAAACAAAACAAAATAAAATTTAAAAAGCAAAAAAAAAAAATGTCAACAGGGGAAATTTGTGTTCCTTTGTGAACAACCATCTGCCACTTCATGAAGATCTCCCTCTCCCTTTCTCCCTCTCCCCTCCCTCTCTCTCTCAAAATGCAACCTCAGTAAGTAAGGCTGATGTTTTGGTTACAGGTCTTTATAGTTACCTTGTTATAATTGTAGAAACATTTTAACTAGCTTGTTAAACCACATGACCAATGGAAAAAAGCTAACTCTTTTTGAGATTTCTAAGTTTTACTTCAAATGAAATTTTTATCCACCCAGGCAGAGTCCAGCGTCTTTCTAAGAGGAAGGACCCAAAGTTGTAACTCCCTGAGGGAGGGGCTGTGTCTCTGCTCGCTCACCATTGGTAGTCACGAGTCCTTAATCCTTAGTCCTTAGGCTGGCACGAAGTGGGTGCTCAATGAATATTTGCTGAATGAAAGTCATGTTTTAAAAGAAATATTTGCAATTTCATCAGGGGTTGATGAAGTTAATTAGAAATGACTAGGTAGTATATCATTTATTTTTATTTGAACGCAAAATACCCATGTTTTTCCACCAAATATAAGAGAATCACTCATTTGGAGAGAGACTGGGGAGTTGATGACACTCACTTTTGCCTGTTTACCAATCTTTGTAAACATGGTTCTAAAAGTATTGGATGAAGATTTTCATTTAAACCTCACTATCTGCCTTCCTTGCCTTCGAGCTAAATCCTCTCTCTATCCATGCTTCTCAAAAACCCTAGAAAACTGTCAGATCGATTTTTAGTATTTTATAGCCTTACTCTATTCAGTGTAAAACTAGGAATGGGTATTAAAATTTTGTTCTTTGCCCTTTTTCTGTTGGGGTCTTTACTTTACCGCCTTTCTTCCTGTAAAATACCTGAGAAACTTTTTACAAATGACTTTACCTGCCCTTTGTTTCCCAAGGTGAAGATTGTAAAAACAGATGGAGGAGTGGCTCTTCTCTGCCTCTGGCTTTCTGCTCAGTTGATGAGAAAAGGGAAAACATCACAACTAAACACTAATCATGAGTAACTAATTAAAGGTCTACTATACCTCAGTTCTGTCCTTTCTGTTAAACCAGGAAGGAAAAGCTTCCTAATTAGCCTTGAGTAAGCATGGAAGAAAAAAACGTCCTTCATATTAGGCGATAAGAGATTTATGTTCACAAGGATAATATACCTATGTCTACAATAGGTGACAAGACTTGAACAAATTCAGAAAGAAAAACAAAACAAAAAAACGAAAACACACCAAACATGTGAATGCCTTTCATAGTCAGGTACTTAAACCTTGTCTCAACAATACAGTTGCTATAAGGAGCTAAAAACTGACTTTTGCTTCATTTCTCCAGGACTCCGAGGAGGAGGAAAATGAGCTGGAAGCTATTAGCAGGAAGTTGATAAGTTCACAGCCTTATGTACCTGTGGAGTTTGCTGATTTCAGTGTTTACAATGCCAGCTTGGAGAACAGGGAATGGTTTTCTTCTAAAGTAGACCTGACAAACTCACGGGTCTTGGAGAAAGAAGTGTCCCGGAGCCCTACCACCAGCAGTATTACCAGCGGCTACTTTTCCCACAGTGCCTCCAATGCCACTCTGTCTGACATGGTGGTCCCTTCTAGCGACAGCTCAGATCAGCTCACCATTCAGACGAAGGATGCAGACTTCAGTGAGCATTCTGGACCATCGCTTGTACGTGACTTCAGACTGTCCTCAAACAAAGAGTTGACAGAAGTAGAAAGAGGCTTGGTAAAGGATAAAATCCACATGGTGCCACTCAAGGAAAACAGTGCCTTAGCCAAAGGGAGCCCATCATCCCAGAGCATTGCTGAGAATAACTCCAAAATGCTGTGCAGGACTGGCTCATGTTCAGAACTAAATGCCTGCCCCAGCAAAAATGGCCATCCAGCCAGGGAGTTCTACCCCAGGGAGGTGACTGTGGAGCACACCACAAACATCCTTGAGGACCATTCTTTCACAGAGTTCATGGGTGTGTCAGATGGAAAAGATTTTGATGGTTTGACAGGTTCTTCTTCTGGAGAGCGTTCAAACAGGAGGAACCTACCAAATAAAACAGACAGTAAGAATGTCTCAGATGGGCTGCAAGACCCTGGCCAGCTGCATTCCGAGTTAGAGAATGATCAGGTAATAAATTCCAGAGACAGCCCCTTGGGTTCTGTGCTATCGGTGAACACAGCTAATAATGCACCAATCCCCAGAGGCCCTTCACCACAGTGACGTAGCAGGAAAGATTCATTTGGGTATGTTTAACAGGGAAGATGGGCACACTGGAAGCAAGTTTACATCCTGCCCAGCTGATGTAGGGAGCAAATCTACTTTGGGAACCAGAGTGGAACCTTGCAATATAGAGGACCAGTGGATTTTTTACCTGGCATGTGGGTGATGTTGAATTAAGTGTTCAGATGGATAAGGATCAGTCAATCTCACGTTCATTCCTTGAGATGTTTAGTTACCGGCTATACCAAAGTGTTCTGGCAGCATCTACCACATTTCATTAAATCTGTGATTCCTTTGATTATTAGATACCCCATGATTTTATGTATCATTAAGAAACAAAAAATACTGCCAATTAAACTATACCATATCAGCAATTGTAAGACATGGCCCAATTTCACAGATGTTAAAATGTTGGGGGTGGGGGTAGGAGGGAGAGGCATATATATCATAAAATTGGTAAAATACAGTAATTTGGTGCCCATAGATAAAAAGTGCTTAGGTGAGGTATAGGCAAACTCCCCAATTGGAGTTTGGGCTTTGGAAGTTGCTCAGGTTGGTTTATAATATTGTTTAATTTTCATATTGGAACAAAATAGGTTTTTGCTAATATTCCTAAGGAAAGTAGTGAATTATATAAATAGGAGATTATCCACTTCTGAGCATTCTGCTCCTAAGTACCACCATTTCTTCCTGTTCGCATTCACTTTTTCAGTCCCACACCTGTGTAATAAGAGGTATTGGAGAGCCATGGCCTAGCAAAACAGAGTGGACAGAACTAGAAAGAGGCTTTGCAAAGGATACACTAATTTTGGTGCCACTTCACTTCATCCCTTTGTTCTGCTGAGGAATTTATTCTAGTGTGGTGCTCCCCCCACCCCTTTTCCCCTTCTGTCCATACTAGCCCTTAAAATTTCAGCACATGGGTTGGCTGGTTACCTCCGTTGGTTAGAGCATGGTGCTGATAACATCAGGGTTCAATCCCTGTATCATTCCAGCCATCAAAAAAAAAAAAAAGTATATGGTCATTTATACAGTATTAAAAAATAAACTACAAAACCTAAACAATGATCTCTTACAGTAAGAAAACAACTTCTTCCTCCAAAATAAGAGTAATAATAGTTATTCATCACTGATCTTGCAAGCAAAACATGCATTTGTTTAAAAGTCTTCAACTTCCTCTACCCTGATTTGGAAGCAGAATCTGCAGAGCTGGCCTGAATCTGCTTTTCAGTGGTCGTGCTTCCAGAAGGCCAAGGTCACGGCCTCTTTAATTCTTCACCGTAAGAATTAGGTTTGAGAAGCAAACCTAAATTTGCAACAGACTCAGTGAGGGGTGGTGGGGAAGGTGCCTCTTAAAAATTCAAATTCCCAGGACTCACTGCCTTCCACCCTAAGATTTTACTTCATAAGCGGGGAGGGGTAGCAGGGAAATAAGGTTTTCACAAACTCCCACTAGTAAATTAATTCGAGGTAGGGTGTCTGAGGGTTTTGCTGTGAGAAGCGTGACCTGTAAGAGGGAAGAGGGATAACAACTCCCTCTCTTATTTCATTGCTTAGATTATTTAGAACACAACAAACAAGAGTTCAGATTTAGGAAGGTTCCAGAATAGTATGCCTCTGCCAAAGCTTTTGGTTTAAAAGTGGAATTTACAAAAAATGTTTGTTTTATCAATGTGATGGGATTGTGGATTTTTTGGGTTTTTTTTTTTTTTTTTTTTTATGGTGGCTGGTCTGTATGGGAAACTGAATCCTTGACCCTGATGTTACAAGGCTGTACTCTAACCAGCTGAGCTAACTGGCCAGCCTCAGAGTGTGGAGATTTTAAGTACTAAAGTTTGACTTTTGTTCTAATCCTGAAATGAATTAGCATGGGTCCAACTATAAATTTTTTTTTTTTTTTTTTAACTTTAATTATGGGTGTTGCTGTCATGACTTTTCCTAGAAACTTCACCTCATGGCTAAGTTTCTTCCCTGTATAGTGTGAATACGAGCACTGGATTCCATAATAAACCCGACCCTGTAGTTCCCTTTAGAAAAAGCCCCTTTTTGGGGTGGATACGGACCAGACCGAGGGTGGGCACTTGGGTGGGATGAAGAGGTGGGCATGAGAAGCTTGAACTCACCAGCCTCTGCATTCTAGGGAGGCACAACCACATGGTGAAAGGCAGCAAGTGCTTCCTCTGCAGGCCACGGCTCAGCATCTTTGTGAACAAAGGTTTGCCTGGTCACCTTGGGAAGGCACCAGCCCCTTCTTTAAAACATGCTGCAGCCCAGCCTGACCTCAGACCAGCGCAGAGAAGCCATGTACTTCCTGGGCCACCTCCTTTCTCCTCCCCAGCAGGAGAAGCGAGCCCCTTCTTTAAAACATGCTGCAGCCCAGCCTGACCTCAGACCAGCGCAGAGAAGCCATGCACTTCCTGGGCCACCTCCTTTCTCCTCCCCAGCAGGAGAAGCGGCACTTTGTTACTCGAGTGAATCAGCAGACTCTGCTTTTTGCAGAAAGCAAGAGAACTGAAAATCCTGGATTAACTAAGTGACAGTATTCTTGTTTGCACTTACTACCCACCCCCACTGTTTGGAAACCTCTACAGATTCAAACAAACTCTATTCTTGTATAGTTTTAATCAGTTCTTACTGTAGAATCTGGAGTCAATAATTTGTTTTTTATAAATAATATATATTATGTATATGAAATGTGTATCTATAGTATGTCTATTTGGAGACAGACAAGACTGCACACTAAAATGCAGATAAAGATGATTTGTAGAAAATCATAAGGTACTGGACTTTGTTATGAAGCAACTTGGGCGATTTCTTATACATGAGCAGATGAAAAATATTTTATTGCCTAAGAATGAGCTTACAAACCCCGCCTCGCAGAAAAGGTTATAGAATACTGTTCTTTATAACCAAAGAACCTACATAAGACTGAACGTTTTTGCTGTCCGCTCTTGTATTGTGTGAACATTTATGTTTGACTGCAAATTTGGTGCCATACTTCCCTTGGCTACCAAGCCATGTGCTACTGTTCTCTGTCCTCTGTTTCATAAGCACACTGAGAAATCTCACAGCTACATTCTTCGGGCTTCCACCTGGCCTGCCACCTGCTGACTTAACCTTGTATTATAACCCTGGACAATGACGGGGCTCTGACTCCAGCATTTCCTAAACCTTTGATCAGCCCAGCCAGGCAGGTGGAATGCAGAGAGCAGTATTACTGTAAGAAAATACAGGGACGAACCATGAGTTGGGGAGGGCTTGTTGGTTTGGGGGTTTTTCTGGTGTGTGTGTGTGTGGTTTTGTTTCAGATTGGTAGGTTTCATTGTGGTGTGGTTTTGCTGTTGTTACTTTGCTTGATTCTGGAAAATGCTAAAGAGATGGACTAAGCTATAAAGTTCACCGTTTCACACTTTACTATCTTTACAGGAGATGATTAAATGCAGATAATCCTGCTTTTGTGTCTTCATTTGTAAAATTCTCCTATAAACGGAGACATTGAGGAATTATGTGTGTGGAAATTTTTACAAAAGTACTTTCTGTCCCTATTTGGTAGATGCCTGTACCATTGGTTTGAATGTACAGCTATAAATGTGTTGTGAGAGCTAGAGCAAGAGAGCGTGTACAGCCTGCTGTTCCTTGTTTAAGTTCTCAGCATCGGTAAATGAGTAAGAATGTTTAATGAAAAGCTGCTGTTCATGATTTTTGTGTATAGTGAGCTGACTGTAGTATTTTACTATTGTCTGTTTAAAAAAGAAAAACTGTAATTTATATCGCCTTTCAACTTTATTGTATTTAATGGGTACAGATTTGTGTGTGTTTGTGTGTTTTAGAATACAAACTGTCTAATTCCAATTTTAAAACATCAGTTGTTTGTCTTTAATAACCTTGCCATTAGTTTCAGGTCTCATTTACCATATTTGTGTGTATGCATGTCCCTGTAGCGTTAAACATATCAGCTAACATTTATTGAGGATTTATGGTGTACTAGGTGCTGTTCCAAATGTTCTATATTTATTATATCATTTAACCCTCACAGCAACAGATGCCAAAGGTACTACTGTCACTGTTTGACAAATGGAAAACTGAGGCAGAGAGGTTAGGGAGGGAGTGGTGACAAAGCCAGGATCTGGCCCATGCTTCCATCAGTCCCTCTTCTCTGTGTTCTCCCTGGTGACATGCCATGAAGGGAGGATTGGGCACCTTCAGAAAGCAGAAAGGTGTGGTGTCA